AGGCACTAGTAGCAGATTTGTCAGTCAGGCTTTATATTCCCGTTTCAATTGTCATCAACATGTATAACTGATTTTAAGAAGACAAATTATTCTTTATTTTCTCAAGATAATAGAAGAATATCACGAGTATAATATAACGCTTCTTTCATTGAAGCTCGATGAAAGGCGCGCTTAAATAGATAACAAAAGCAATTAAAATATATAATAGTCTTTTGTGCTGTATTTTTTATAAATTATCTCTAAAAAGGCAGAACTTGTTTTCACATTTTTTAAGAATGGAACAGAAGCATGAAATGCGCTCATCATTTGAAGAGAGAAATGTTTGAAGTGAAATAATGTCATAGATATAGCAAAATGTAAAAGGTGGTATTTTGACTTCCTTTTAAAATGCTAAATTACTATAACTATACTAATTACATTGTACTTAAATGCCATAAGAGCAAAAGATGACTGCTATTTGTCCAATAAGCTCTATTTAGGAAACTAAAACAAAACAGTAAGAGTGAAATGCTTTTGAAAAATATGAATTTTAGCATTTTTAAACCTCAAGGAGCTTTTAATGAATTAATGGCATTTAAATCGAGAAATATGCCTGAGGAAATGAAACGCAATAAGATAATTGATATGCATGTTCACAAGTCTACGATGCAAGGAAATAAAACGGGCTATATGTGCGACTTTCTTGTCCTCAAACAGTATAAACAGCAGTATACAATTTATATAAATATGTATTTGGATTTATTTCGTAGAGAAACATTACCGCGCTTTCTCGTTGTGGAACAGTTGTTCGTTTACTCCGTCAGAAACCAGTGATATGACATAAATTATGTTTTTATACACATCGAGAAAACAATAATATCAAAACTTCACATTTAATTTGTCAAATTTTTTGTTTTTTTTTTTAATACTTTAAGAAACAGGATTGTGATGTATCGTTATCGCGTTTTGATATATTCTTAGTGACCTTGCTCTCTTAAGATTTACTCCTTAATGAATGGATTACTTGATTTATGATATCTCGTAATCCTTATATAAAACTGAATTCATATAATTCATTTATTATTAAATTATTTATTTAGCAATTTACTCGTACATCAAGTACGATTGATCATAAATTAGACTTATAGGTGTTATAAGAATCTATAAATGAAACTTAAAACTGGCTCAAAAAGAACAAGAGTAATGTATAGTACATATGGTAGAAAAATGAGATTGTATATTTATAAACATACTGCACTATACGACCTTGTTTCTTAGTGCAGAATATATTTCTTCTCCTGGAGATATTATTCTTTAGTTGAAATGTCACAGTTAGGCAAGCTTTCGAAATCCATGAACTCACATTATGCTAGATCTTTATTTTAACTGGTTAAAATGTAATGATTTGGCATTAATACTTTGTATGATGTTTGTATGTTTATGGATATATTATACAATATGTCTGTCTTTGCAATATATGTTTATTGTAAATATGGTCAAAGACATTTTACATGTCGATAGCCAATAAATTTTGAAACCTTGAATTAAGTCTTGACTAACAGATAATATCCTCTTAGTATATAACAGATCTATATATATTACATGAAATAGTATATTAAGAGTGTAGTTAGATAACCCATAATACTTTAGCTCATATATGTTTATAACATCTTTCATTTAAATATGCAAGCATAATTTTGTAAAGTTATGGATATTATTCATCTAATAGAAACAGGGACTTTGTCAATTCCGTGCTTATATAATTAAAATAAAAATACATGAAGAAAATTACAATAAAATACTCGTATGTGTTATTAATTAATTTCTTATGTTTTTTTTTTCAAAATATAACTCTTTGAAAGGCTAGGCTATGTTATTGAAGTATTTAATACACAGTCATGTCATAATTAAAATATAATTTTCATTTCGTTATCTTACCGAGACAGCTATCTCTCTCAATGCGGCATTATTGTTGTTGTATATTCCATACTCTGTTGTTTTATTTTGTTGTTTTAGTTTTCTTAATGTTGCTTCTTGAATTAAACAGTGTTCAAAAGACACCATTTTTGAAAGGTTAAGAAATAATATAAACCGTGTCAGTAGCAATGATAGACAATAAATATGTTGTAGTTATACGTATATCTCTCTTGTAACTATGGCAAAATATTGAAATCAATCAAACTGACGAATCGCAGCATTGAGAAATGGATTAATTTATTATATAGCAAAATAATCTATATTGAAATGTGGATGTCATTCTGTATTAATGGAGCGTTGAGACTGGATACAGTGTCTATTGTTATATCTATAATTGTATCTACCATTACATTTATAACAGGAGACATATTTACATATTTTTCATTTGTTATACAGTATGCAAGTGAGATCGTATTGAAGAAGTGTGTCTTATCAGTTAACGGTAAGCTTCTGCTATATTCTGGACACCGCACTGATATATCAGTATATGGGTTTGATCATAGCTCCGATAGCAAAAAAAACCTTTCAATTAATAGTATAACATTATATCTATGGAAGCTATCAAGGAAGTAAAAATGGAAAGTCTTGAGCTAAACACTGTAAAATTAAAAAGTGTTGTCAAGAAGACTAGTCCATGATCGGGATATCATTGTGCATGATGCCGTCCACGCATACTAGCACCTGCTTAAACATAATACAAAATTTAAACTGGAAAAAAAGTCACTTCTATGGGATTTATTATCATCCACAGGAAAATGATGTATTTATGCGGCTTTACATCGAGGTTCATGTCATTTTATAAACAGTGGCATGAGACCCGGAAGTAAAATAATTCATCAAGTTTTTCTTTTCATGAAACAGTACTAGCTATAAATAAGATCACTGATAAGCAGCCTTCAAATATGTGTGATCATGTACCAGTATTGTTTTTTAACATAGACATTTTCGTTTTATTTTCTTTCACAATTATTTCATATTTCAGACGACTTGAAATTTCTTAAGTAATGGTTTAAAAGATTTTCTGTAGCGGAGGTTATTCAACTTACAAAAAAGTCATAACTGCTTTGTTATTCGAAAATGAAGTTTTAAAGAAAGTTTTAACATGTGTATGAAATAAATGATATTTGAAGAACACGATACATAAATTAAATGAAACTGTTTCATACCAATTGGTAGATATACTGATATCAGATTACATTATTTACGATAAAAAAAATGGAAAATGGTGATCCCTCGGAAGCATTAATCGCAACAAAATTACATTAAAATTGCAGACTCGGTTTGATTGAGTGCATGAGGGATAATGAATAAGTGCGACATCCCCACGCCCCTATCACCGGCTTGAGCGATACTCAATTTTCAACACTTAATAGTGCCGGCATCAATGGTCCCGAAGGACTAGCAAAATATAAAAAACTGAAGTGAAGGTTTTCGGGGGAACTTTTTTTTAAAACTGCCACACACACTTGACACCGGGTTTTGTGAAGCCCTTTACGTTTCCCCTTTTAAAATTTCAAACATATTTTAAGATGAAACATTCCCTTTATATTTTTAATTTTCAAAAATTTAAAAAGACTGATTGTTTAAAGTTTAAAAAGCGCCGCTTTTAAAATTTTGAAATGAGAAAGTGTTGCCTTTTATCCCTGAAATGTTCGGGTCAAATCGAGAAATAGTTGACTAACAAAAGGCCCGGCCTGGGAAATTTTTTTGAACCCCAAGACCGCCCTCGTAAGATTTCCCAATTTGACACTGGGACACGTCATATTTTTATGTCTTTACACCCAAATTTTTTAAAATAAACAAAACCCATCTTTAAAAACTCAAAATTCATTTTCTTTGTAACTCCATTTTTTTAAAAAAAATTTTTTGAAAAATCACAGACCTTTCATTTTGATTTATTAATAAAATGCGTTAAACTGAAAACAATAAGAAGTTTAAATTGATATTTGTTCGAGCATTATCTCATTAAAATATGTTAGATTTGTTGACTGCAATATTTTGACGTCGACACTCAAGGAAGCATTAAGATTAAGTCTTACTGTAATGCTTTTCCGCCAAGGAAATTATAAAATCGGCCAATATCGTAGCAAATCGGTAATTTCCGGAACGTTATTTTTTTTTGAAATCTTTGGCATTAGATTACTTACAATCACTCATAGTTTATCGCTATGTTATAAATGGCTAAAAATTATTGAATACCGAATACTGTGAAAAATAACATTCCGGAAATTATCACATTTTTTACAGTATTGGCCGATGTTAGAAATGCATAACAGTTTGACTTTCTTAAGCCTTGGTAAGGTTGTCTTATTATAAACGTGCATATATAAGAAGGAAACATTTACCTGCTGAGGAATTATATATGTGGCTATGAACTTCTTAACTAGATAAAACAACAATGTATATATAGACACAATTTATTTCAAGCTTAATCATTCAGAAGGGCACATCAACATGTTAATATTTTCTTTTCTCTTTATATGGAAGTTTGATTGTTTTAAATGTTTAATTCTTCAGTTATTTGGCTTCTTTAGCAAAATAACGATGTTTAATTCCTCCAGAAAATTGCAGTATGATAAAATGTCAAAGTACAAACGATATTGACTTGAAGGAATATCACCTGATTACACTCGCCTAATAACTTATCTCTTGCTATGTGAGGTTTTTGATTTACACAGTAAGTTTGTATTATCTTGTTTTTATCATAAATTAAAAAAATATTAATTTTTTTTTAAAAACAAATAGTTTAACACTACAGAAGTACGAATATTAAATTTTTCCCCCAGTTAAAACGTCTGTTAAAAGCATTTGGGATTTTAAACATCACGCTTCAAATGAGAAAAAACTATATTTGAAGAAAAAAAAAACAAAAAATTTTAGCGGGCTCTGGGAAAATAAAAATGTGCGCCTGCTATTTGGGGGAATAAATGCCCCCACAAATTTCCCAAAATTTTTAAAACATTAGATTTTTTAATTACAGGGAAAAAAGTTTTAAAAACTGACGGCTTGTTTTGGGATAAAACTGTTTGGGGTCCTTTAAATTTCAAAAACCCCATTTTTAAAGGAAATGCTTGCGGACTCAATTATTTCCTAGATCCACTCAACTAGATTCAATCCCAAGTGTATAATGATGATTTCAAAATTACTAAGCAAGAATTGTCATCAAAAATGTTGAGAGGTGTATTTTTATCTGCATATTTCGATCAGGGGTAAAGTGTGAAATTGACATGGAAGGAAAATCTCTGTATGCATGTTTTCTCTCTATAGTCCGACTGCTAACAAAATGTAATTAAGATGAAAAGAAAACGCTCGTCATTTGTTTACAGGTTGTTAATTGGAATAATTAGGTTTCAAAACATTTTTATCCACTACCCTTGTTATACCTGTCTATGTCTACAAACACGTTGACAATAATCGAGTTATTCTCTCAAAATGATCTTATGTGATAAAAAAAGAAATAAAAAAAATCATTGATCTCATTCTTTTAAATATGATGATGTTTTTTTTTTTCAGTAATGAATAGATTTTATGCAGCTGTTCTTTAGAAGATGAATACAATTATAAACATCTCTACCTTTAATTTTGTAAAACTGCATGGCCATGTATGTATATTATATATGTGGCAACTCTAGTGTACCATAATTAACATTTTAACAATAAAGATACATGACTGTGATCTTGTAGAAAACATTCAATATATGACATATTATTTAATATCTTACATATACATGTATTATAAAGAAATACCTATGAATAGATTGATAGTATGTTACTGCTTTTGCATTAAATCTTTATAGCTGTATACATTTAAGCTAAATTAATATCACATCATTTAAAACATGTATTGGTTTTATTTCTCACATTGACTGTAAAAATACTTTGATCTCTTTCAGGTTTATTGTTCCAGTGCAACGTCCTTATTTTCTTCAATTTCTTTTCCGACATCTTCCCCTTCGCTCCTTTTATAACGATGTATACCAAATCCTCCGAGAGAGTCCAGCTCACGTTTTTCATAATCATTATTACTATCACTTCTTTTAAAACCATACACATTTGCTCCACCGAGTGAGCTAAGTGTGCGTTTATATGCGTTATGTATATTAGTGCCACCTAGCGACGATAATGCTCTCTTGTTGCCACCATTGTGAATATTAGAACCGCCGAGCGAGCTTAAAAAGCGTTTGTAACCGCTATGCAAATTTACTCCTCCGAGATTGTCAAATCTGCGCTTGTAAAGGTTACCGCCTCCAAGTGAAGACAAATAACGCTTATCCATATTTCTTTTGTTTCCTCCGTGAATGTTACCTCCACCAAGAGACGAGAAGTATCTTTTGTAGGGATGGACAAAGCTACCACCTAGTGTATCTAAAGCTCGTTTGTATCCATGTATATTTGTTCCTCCGAGAGACGATATGAAGCGTTTATAACCGCCATGTAGATTTACTCCACCAAGTGTGTCAAACCCTCTCTTGTATCCATGTAATTGCATATTACCAAGTGTATCAAGAGCGCGTTTATAGCCATGAATTTGCATATTACCAAGAGTGTCAAATGATCTCTTCTCTTCTGCATCATTTTCAGAGCTTTCAACATCTTCTTTCATATCAGATACCACACCATTTCCATCAGAATAGAATTCTATTTGCAACAAATAATACGTGTTTAACTTTTGGCACTTTATTGAAAATAATCATATAAGCTAGAATGTTCTACATCCTTCCGAAAAAGGAAAACAATATCAATATAACAGTTATATATTCAAATTTTGAAAAAGAAATAATGAGCAATTTATATAAAATGTTTTACTGAGCAATATGCTTTAGATGATGTTACTAATAAGAAAAAGATCGTTTGAATTCGGTAACAAACCTTCATAGTCTCTTGGCATACGGTAGTCGTAAATATAAGTGCCCCCTAACGTGTCAAGCTGCCTTTCTTTGTCATACTGAAACGATATTTATTAAGTTTATTGTAGCGAAAACCTTCAACATGATTAGAGTCATCCAAACCTGCCACTAGTCTATAAGTACCTAATTTTTGTTTTCTGACATTGAATCGATTAAGGTCATCTTACTGTAATGCTTCCCGACAAAAAATTCTCAGAATGTTAGAATTCTTTTGGCGGGAAAGCATAGAAAGGATAGAATAGACAGTTACAAATTGAAACAGGAAAAATATATTATGTGCACGAATAAGACAAGTTATTTCTACAAAATTTAACTTCGTACATAGAAATGGTTTGCAAGGTGTTTTAAAAAAAAAAGGTTACAGCAGTTAAATAATCGGAATACCACATATCACGATCATTCATTTTTGTGTTCTCCTTTCTTTCTTTTTTTACGATGCAGCAATAGTACAGCTTTTTATATGTATATAGTGTTAAATTACTTTTATATGTATAAAATGTAAAATTACTTTTATATGTATAAAGTGTAAAATTACTTTTATATGTATAAAGTTTAAAATTACTTTTATATGTATAAAGTGTAAAATTACTTTTATATGTATAAAGCGTAAAATTACTTTTATATGTATAAAGTGTAAAATTACTTTCATATGTATAAAATGTATAAATACTTTTATATGTATAAAATGTATGACAACTTTTTTAAATTTACAAAGTGCATTATTACTTTTTATGTATAAATTGTATAATTACTTTTATATGTATAAATTGTACAATTACATTTAGAAATAATGCTTCCATAAATAAAAGTACAAAACAAGCAAAGAATGTATTATATAAATAATGATAATTCCGGTTCTTAACTTTATTCATAAAAATAGTTTTTTCTTCTTCAGTGTTACATGCCATTTCTGCAAATATTAAAAAAGGGGTTTTATTTTATTTATATTTTCTAATAATAGTTAACTTAATAATAATGTTAAAATGGCGTATTGAACTATGTTACCTTTTCGTCGTCTTCTCGTCTTTGAATTGTGGATACTGGTGGACCATGTGACGCCATTAGGCCCCAGTCCCAAATCTTATATGGTCTAGGCGTTGTTGCTAAGGACTGAATAGCTTCACTTTGCACATAGTTTCGTTTCTGATAAAGACACAAGGACACCATGTGTTAACAAAATACTATTACATGTGTATTGACTGAAAGACTTTACAATTTTATCGACACATATGACACATATGATTTTAATACAACGTAATGTCTGTAAAGACAATAGTTTAAACATATTTTATTCCTTTCAATTTTTACAATATGTACAATGCAAATATATAGAAAGAAAAATATATAAATACATTTTGAAAGAAAAAGGGTTGGACCACAAGTTCAAATAACATTAGTAAATCGGTCCGTCCCTAAAAGACAATATGATTGTCTTATATTCTAGTTGCATTAATATATTTAATATGACTAGCAATATATGAAGTATGAGTTGAAATAAATGAAAATAAAATAAAACTCGATAATTGCCGATGCTAAGTAAAATAAGTGTTCAAGATAAATATGATATTTATAATCAATATTTAAATCAGTGAAAAAGTATTGACGGCAATTATAGCCATCAGACGGTGCATTATCACGTTATAGCGTTCTTAACAAATATTTCGTTTACATTTCAAATAATAATATCTGGAATATTTATATGAAAGTGTTTAAACAGGCAGCTAACTAAATTACTTATTTCAAAATGTTTCACCAGTTAAGAATTTTATAATGATAAAACCAAACAACTTTTTCTTCTAAAAACCGGCCTTTTTCATTTTTTCAAAACAATCCCGACTCAGGTTTAATATTTAATGATATTGTTTTAATACTTTTACTTTTGCAGACGATATGACAATTATATATAGGCAAAAGATTTATTTGTTTCATCGATATTAGATTATTCATGTGAAATCTTGGGATATACTAAGTCTAAGGAACTAGAAAGAATACATTTCAAATTTTGTAAAAGGTTATTAAGAATTCAACCTAGCACTTGTAATGCTAGTGTATACGGCGAAGTGGGAAGATATCCCTTATATATTCATAGGTTTGTAAGGATAATAAAATACTGGATAAAATTGTAGACACTGATGACATAATCCTTAAGACAGTATATAATCAAGCTCTAGATGATAGCAACAATGGTCTTAAAAATTGGGTTTCTAATGTAAAAAGCTTTTGAATGATTAAGGATTTTCATATGTATTTGATAATGTTAATATTATTGACAAAAAATATTCTTATATGAATTTAGAAGTCGTGTTATTGATTCTTTGAAACAGGAATGGTACGCTACTTTAAAAAATAAATCTGTATTGTATATGTACAAAAATGTTAAATGTAGTTTTGAGTATGAATTTTATTTGGATATCTTGCCAAGATGTTTTAGATTTTATTTCTGTAGATTAAGAATGGGTAGTTTGTCTTTGAGAATAGAAACTCGCAGATATTCTAGAAATAGAATTGTTAGAGAAGAGTAGTTGTAATGCCTCATACATTGAAGATGAATTTCATTTTGTGTGTATATGTCGTTGTTATGCAGAGTTAAGAAAAAAATATTTGAAAATTAAATATACCAGAAACCCATCAGTTTATAAATTTCTACTTTTATTGAACACAAATAGTAAACATGAATTAATTCAGTTATCAAAATTTGTTAAAGAAGTACTTGCTTTGAGAAAGCCACTGTTAAATGTTGAGCGTTAAACATCATACTAGTAATTGCTCATTCTCCTCTTCGTATGTCTTTACTTTTTTTAATTCGTGGTATACACATTTCTTATTTAATTTTTTTCTTACTAGATAAATAAAGGTTTTGAAAAAGTCATGATTGCTGTTACCATTATATTGAAGTTATGCTTGTAATTATTATTGTATCATAGATTGTGTACATTGTACAAATCTTAATAAAGTATATGTCCTGTTCTGTTATTTATATAGATATATTATTTGGGTGTCTCATGTCAATAGTCAATAGAAAATTCGTTGAATAGAGACAATATCTGAGAATATATGCAACTTGAAACATAAAATTGTCAAATTGTTAAATATGTTTCTCTGTTTAAAGCAGCATGCCTTCAGATTCGAGTCTTTTAAAAAAATGTATTCAAAAATAACATATTGTATAGTGAACAAAGAAAGTAATTAACATATCGCTAAAGACAGTATTAATTTACGTTAATTATCAAACAAAGAGGTCAACATAGGTCAAAATAGCAATTTTGGCGTAAGCCATGGAATGGAAATATTGTGATAAATACGGCCGAATCAGTCTTTGGTCGCATATAACATATACATTATTATTCGAATCTGGATCCCTTAAGATATATTATAAAAAGTAGTACATTTTTCTCAAGTTTGGCGCACCTCTAGATATGCATTATATCTCAGGAAAGCCTTTATTTTCATTTTACAAGAGTCTCTGTTTTTGGTGTCCTGTTAAAATAGGGAAAACAAGAATCCGCAAAGAACGCCCTAACGTAAAATTATGATTGTTTCATGCTTGGTTTGATTGAGTTTGTTCGTGGACGGTACTGAAAATGCAAGTTACCGTGTATACCCCCTAGCACCGGACTATGCAAAAATCAACGTTTAATTATAATGGTAAAATTTGGAATTAAGTCACATCTGCAGATGTGTTTTACGGCAGATTGAAATTAACATGGATTGCGAGTGCTGTTCAAGTTATTCATTTGGCATTTTTCTTTACCATCTACTTCTTCTGTTGCTTTTTGGCAAAAACTATAGATATAGTGAGTAAGCTTTTTGTATGGAAGTCAAAATACTACTTCGCATACAGTTTGCTACTCCTACGAACAAATAAGTTTACGTTCGGCGTTACTAACGTCAGACAATAAACATCTACCATGATCTTAAACAATTATTTAAACATTCTTTAAAAATCAACTTTTCCCTTTCAAAGGAATGATTTTTCCAATTTTTGAGACATACTGTGACTTTACGGAAACACTGCCAGAGTCATTAACTTGTCTTTACTTTATTTGTTGACATTGCTTTGTGTCAAAAAGCAAGTTAATCTTTTGAATCGGTTTTGTCTTTATATTTCATATGGACATTCCCACAAGAATAAGCATTTTGCACAAACATCTTTCCATTAAAGTTATTGTAAAGCAACATTGTAACAAAACTAATATGATGGTATTTTATGATGTTGTTATCACACAGCAACAACAAAACGTTGCTTTTCCTCGACGACTACAACAACAATCTCATTAAATTAAATTCTGCTTTATTGTAGCAAGATCATGTGAATTCCTGTAGTAAAGAAGACATTAGCTTTTTTCTCCTAATCGTATAATGAGCATCGGTGTATTTTTCTTGGTGTTTATAAGTCTTTCATCAGGAATATTTTTAACATTATATTCATTTTAGCCTCAATATACAAGTACATGTGTCTCAGTCAAATGATCATTATTGATGCTATAACATACTCACAGTATATAAACAAATCCACTTTCTGTTATCGCAAGTAAGATACACGTTATACCACATGTATCTAGGCTCCCAAGTTAGATACAAGTGATCGGAAGTAGCTTGCGTTTTTACTCGCAAATCAGGGTAAACATTGAATTCTATAGACTCACAAGATAGGGTACAGTGATTTTGTTTATATACTTTGACGCTAAAAACTTAATACTCTAGTAGGTAGGTAGATTATTAAGTCTCGGGTTTCTTTCCTACGTTCATGACAATGTTACAATAAAAGAAAAGAAATTCTTACTGATAACATTCATTAAAACAAATTTATTCTTGAATGATTGACTGTTCAGAAGGGACCTCTCTGTAAGATAGATTACACAGTTTGTTTAACAACACAATTTAGACACGTGTCATTTGTAAGACAGTTTTGTTTCCTCGGGGATTGGCTAATTTGCTAGTTGACAGAAAAATGCTCTAAAATGCTACATGTTAAGACATTACATTGCTTACACGTTTTCTAATTAAATAGGCATCAGGCACAATGATTGACATGTAATGTCCACTTAACAGCGGATTTTATTCAGATGTAATGTTATCTTTCCTTATATGTTATACATAAACTACTTCGGTGAAAGTGTTGTTTTTTATTCATTATTATTATTGTTATATTGCTCATTTTGATAATTTTTAAACGTTAGAAAAGTAAGATGTGAAATAAAAGGTATTTGATTGATCAAATCTAATTTAAAATTGATGACAATTATTTATTTTCAAGATTTCTCAATGTGTCAGCGGTAAACACTGGGAAAAAGTGATCACTCGGGAAGAATAAAAACAACAACTAACATGAAAACTGAAGATACAAAATCGCTCACGCTCACAGTACCAGCTAGGTAACCCGAAGTTTCCTTGAGCAAGAAATTATGCACTCATTGCCCAGTACTGGCTGGTTCCAGGAAGAGATTCAAATTAGTATATGTACGATTATAGCTTCACAATTTAATTTAATTCATTCTGTATAAACGATGTAGCCGGTATATCTTATATTGCTTCCCTGCGCTTGCTTATATAAAATCTAACTTTATCATTATACAATTTATAGTAAACAGAAACGCTTCATCTTTAAACACGCGACTATATAAATAATAGTACAATTGTTATAGCACATTTTGTATTTATAATTCAAGCATTGAAATATGGTGAAAATGCCTTTTAAATTCAACATAAACATGTACCTATCTTAGAGAATATGATGATAAAGTAAAACAAATTTTCAGAATTAAACATTTTTGAAAAGAAATTGATACAAACATAGCACGATACTTATACATTGTTCTAAGGATAAAGAAATAAATATTAGAATATACAATAATTAAATGGCATCAATATTTAGTCTATAGATAACAAGCCTTATAATAGTTGTACGGTAGATATGGTGATTATGGAATGCATTAGTTGATGATAATAGTGATTGCCCATTAAGATAACAAACGGAAACTGGCAAGAAACGATTGCCGTTGAATGGGAATGTGAGAGGATGATGACTATTGTGGCAATCATGTAATGGAAGTATCAAATCAAATAATACAACATGCATCAATTGCAGACAAACATGATAACATTTCTTCTCGATTTTCATCCTAGTAAAACAAGTAAATTTACTGCAACATTTTATAAATTGAACCCTAAACCCATCTTACTTCATCAAAAAACAAAATCATTACATGAAAAGTGTTATTTGCTTTAATGTATTTGAATTTTATGGATTTATTTTGACCCAGCAATAACATGTATGATACTTTTCCATGGATCGCAATACATATTTGAAATATGTTGTAATAATGTACAGTAAAAAGCATTTAAAACTTTACAAATCTTTTTTTAATGTAATATCATATATCTATTCAATATCTCCAAAAACATGCGTTATTCATGAATAAATCAATAAATGAAATTTGTAATAAAATGAATAAGCTCAATCAAACAAAGCATGCGATATTTTCAAGTTGCTTTTTTATACGTTTTTTATGGTCTCTAATTTGAGTTGGTAATACAAATCATAACAACAGAGTCTAATGTATCTGTCAATGTTGATTTGCCTCTTACCCAAAGCAAATAAAAATAAACAGAGACAAGATATCTGAACGTTTGTAAGTTGATCTTAGACAGGTTAAGCCTTTAAAGTGAATTACTTTAATTGAAGGTGTATATAAAGTGACAATTACATAGTTTGCTTGTTTATTTAGCTCATTTTTATCGTTCAACTAAATCTTGCTAATTGCCTTTGAAAGTTCCCTTTGAACACTTCTGGTACAATTATTTGTAATCTTAGGTTAGAAGTACTCGGTACGTTATCTGCTTGGCTAATTGCTTAATAATTGACAAACACAAAATTCGCCTTAACTGCAGTAGCAGTATTGTCCAAATCACATTGATACTGTATCAGAAGTTCCACAATGGTATGTGTAAATGGTCATGGGTATTGTATTGACCAATATCTTGATAAACATAAAACTTGGCATAACATAACATTCAAATTGCCTTTCAATGGTCTCATCTGAACAAAATAGATACTATCAAAATGGACATTTTTGGATGACCATCTATCTATAAGCTGACTTGATACTTATTCCGATCGTTAAAATAGTTTAAAGGAACACTGGAAAAAAAGCAAATTGTGATGAATCTTTCACGACAAAAATATGAAATATTGAACATATCGTATTAGCTATGAATATAACATCGCGTGTTATATGTAAACCTTTCTTTCTAATTTTCTTAGTTTGTTTTAGAAGGTTAATAGGTTAATGCAATTTCTTAAAGGTAACTGCATATTTGTATTTCATATTTTTTCATGAAAATCAAATGAAATACAATGATAAAGTTGAAAATTGTAATTTTTTTAGGGATATTCTTTTTTTCATTTGTTACATATTATTAAACATCAGTTTCAGGTTACTCAAACATAATGTAACCGCCAAAGTTTTAAACAAAATGTAACCTCTAAAGTTTCAGCTAAAGTTTCAAACATAATATAACCTCAAACGTCTCGAAGCTTTTATTAAAAATTGTGTTGCTTCTATACATTGTTTATACCTTTGCCAGATAGAACATGAAGTTGTATGCATTTCCCCCCAGTTCATCGAAATATTCCTGCATGATTAATAATCAGTATTAAAGTTTATAAATTTGCGATACGTTACAAAACTTCAGTTAAAAGTATCGCTATTTTTTTATATAAAATATACAATATTTTTTTTAATTTTAATTTCTTTAGTTTAACAGTTTTATCTTAAATATTTACACTATATATAAATATTAGAAAGGCCGGGGAAAATCAAAATAAATAGATAAATAAATAAATAAAAAAATATGTATCCTTTAGATGGTTATTAGGGAATGATAGCAAAGGTTAAATTTTTATTTTCTTGAAAAGAAAACAAAAAAGATAAATAAATAATAAAAAAACGACAAAAAAAATCCTCTAACAAGAAATATACCAGTCACAGAATCCTTACCATTTGTTCGCTGCAATAAATTCCGTCCGTTACTATTATAAATACTGCTAAAACGTTAAATATGCACCTCATTGTCTGTAATATTTCTTGATAAAATATAATAAAATATAGAAATTTGTTATCAAGTTTGTTTAAATAATTTCAGTAAAATTTTGTTATGGCACTAACGGCGTTATTCGACACCTAAAATTTTCCGTAAAATATTTCGTTCCTTGACGTTAAACCATTTTCTCTAATAAAAGCCAATAGTGCGCTCACAGTGGTTATATATATAGCGGTGTGAGGGACGATGCTGGCACACCAATAAACCGTTCATTCGATGTTTAATAGCTGCTAGCCAGTTATAATGAACTATCGGCCTATGACAATGCAGTATACGCGTCCATTATTGATGCTTGTTACTCATTTATATTTACAGGCTAGTCCGTGACGACAACGCTAGAGGAGTTATTAACATGTGCCACATCGTGCAATACAATTAATCTGCACGTGCTACGTGTCCTGATAAGTGCACAGAAAAGTTACAGTTTATCGTGCCGTTAAAAGGTTAATTTGCCGAACATAGATAGCAGAACATTGATTGAATATCAGTATTATCTAATCACATTGGTGACATTATCAATCAAGCAGAAATGTATCATGCACGCGTTACTTATCTTATCTATATTATACTTACTATGAAAAATCACTTTCTTTTCCCCTTTCTCTTGAAAATGTCTTAAGCTATTAGATACGAATACCATACTGTCGTGCAGTGAAACATTTACTTCATGATAGCCATTGATAACAATCAGCTTGTGCATTATCATTCAATTGCTTCAATTCCTCACAAATAATATTGTCTCCGTTTCAAATTATATAATCTAAAATAGCTTTTATTTGAAAGTATTTGAGTGCAGCAGCAAATGTCCCTGCATTTTTCTAACATTGAGGATAACTTTTCAAGTAGGTAGTGTCGTATTCATGAATATTTATGTATTATTCAGAAAATGTCTGTATCAGATATTCGTGAATATTTATATACTGTTAAGAAAAAGTCTATATCGTATAATATTTGTGTTATTAGGAACAAGTCTAAATCGTATTCATGAATATTTATGTGTGTTGTTAAGAACTAGTCTAAGTTTTATTCAAGAATATTAATGTATTATTAAGAACTAGTCTAAATCGTATTCATGAATATTCATAAATTATTAAGAACAAGGTTATATATATATATATATTATATTCATGAATATTCATGTACTACAAGAACATGTTTATATCGTTTTCTTGAATATTTTTATATTGTTAAGTCAAAGTCTATATCGTATTATTTATGTGTTATAAAGAACTAGTCTTAATCGTATTCATGAATATTTCATATTATTATCAAAGGTCTATATTGTATTCGTAAATATGTGTATTTATGTATAATTGTGTTTTAATTAATTTGTGACTGTGTTTCGTGTTTCAAATGGCACCACTCCATTGTATCTTCGTGAATTGTTCACTAAATACCAGAGTCAGTACAGGAAAAGACTGAGATCCTCATCATCTAGCCACACTCGGTTTGATATACCATCAACAAATTCAAAACTTGTTGATAGATCTTTAGCTATTGTGGGACCTAAATAGTGGAATTTATTGCCATACTATCTGAAGGACATTACTAATGAAAATCAGTTTAAGGCCAAACTTAAAACATACTTGTTTGGACTTTTTTTCAACTAGAGTTGTAGATTGGCTGTGTCATCGATACTGGGTTTGAAAGTGTCTTGATCAAGCCTATGTGTATATTGTCTTAATACTGTACAGCGCAATCGAATATTTAATACATTTTTGCGCTATATAAATGTCTTGTATTTGTATTTATAATTAAGACAATGGCTATATTATATTCGAGAATATTAATATATACAATGTATTGTTAATCGTATTATTTATGTGTTATTAAGAACTAGTCTAAATCGTATTCATGAATTTATATGTATTATTAAGAACAAGTCTATATTATATTCATGAATATAAATTATGTATTTATGTATAATTAAGAAAATGTCTATATTGTATTCGTAGATATTTATAAATTGTTAAGAAAAAAGTCTTTATCGTATTATGTATGTGTTATTAAGAACTGGTCTAAATCGTATTCAAAGAACAAAATTATATCGTGTTCATGAATATTTGTGTGTTATTACGAACATGTCTTTATCGTATTCGTGAATATTTAGGTGTTATTAAGAAAATATCGTATAAATGAATTTATTTGTATTATTAAGAACATGTAAATATCGTGTTTGTGAATATTTAGCATATTCATGAATATGTATGTATTATTAAGAAAATGTCTATATCGTATTTATGAATTTATTTGTATTATTAGAACATGTAAATATCGTATTTATGAATATTTATGTTTTATTTAGAACATGTCAATAGTTGTCATTAACTATCTTGTATATAAATTTTCTTTGAAGACTTAAATCATTAAATCAGATTACTATACCTTGCTATTCTTAAACAGAATCACAATATTTTCAAAAATGTGTATAAGTAAGCTCGATATTTTGGAAAGTTTCATGAGAATAAATACAAATAAGAATATAATTTTCAGCTTTATGTTTCAGATATGTGTATGTAGAACACATATTTTAATGCATACATTGGGCATTGATTTACACTGTATGCTACAATTTTTACTCTAATTGTGAACGCTGCTTTGTGTCAAATACAAAGACGAATGTTAATCTATTATACAGCCGAGTTCATGTTGTGTTCTCCCTAAAGAATAACCTATTGTACTCATATACATATATCAGCGTATTATTGTCAATATTATACATGAACGTAATATCTACTGGTATAGGCTATAACCAAACACAATAACATCGAATATTGTGATAAGAGTGTATGAGAACAATAAGCAAAGTATTGTCAATTTGCGTGATCATTTCAAATGACGCTAATAAGCTATATGTGACATGACATCACATTTCAATATATTATAAGAATATTTGTATGACATTTTCCTGAATAACTTAAGTAAAATACAATGCGCAAACATTAAATTTTATAATTTAATTCATTCATTTAATTTAATTTAATTTAAATAAAAATTTACAAGATATTAAACAATTAGCATTAGCTATCGTTAATACCCACGTTGAGATTATATCAAACCTTAAGTGATAAACAACGGAGATTCTATTTGTTAAAAAGAGAAAAACGGAATCCCTAAAAGACGTCCAAAATAACAAAATTGAAAATATTGCAGGCTCGGTTTGATTGAATCTGTTCCTGGACGGTACTGGAAAGTGCAAGTGACAGTCCACGCTTCCTAGCATCCGCATAAGCAGAATTAAACATTGTGAAATTTTGAATTTAGAAAAATCGTCAACAGTTGGCTTTGGTTTTTGTAAACGTATGATAAATGTTACTTGTTATATCATGACATATACAATAATGTTTGACGCACTAACACGAACAAGCTTCATTTAATGGGGAATGTATTTAATATCTTAAATAGTTTTATTCGGTAGATTTATCCGGTGATACAAAACAATTTGTTTTAAGTCTGTTACATTTTTTATTAAGACTTAAAGTGTTCTTAGTTTATATTTAAAATTAGCTTTGATGTTCTGCATTGCGGAAAATCCATTTCCTGGCTTTGCTTTTAGTCATGTAATGTGTGGCATGCATTTTTTCTTTTCAAATAAAATTTACTAATAATTTTTCTGGTTTTGATAGGTCCTATCCTTAAGAAACATTTCTGAAATTCAAGCCTTCTTTATTCATATTTATACTTTACAAGATGTGGCCACGAGATACTATGTCGTGGCAACGAGATACTAAGTCGTGGCCACGAGTTACTAAAAAAACGTGGCCACGAGATACTAAGTCGTGGCCACAAGTTACTAAGTCGTGGCCACGAGATACTAAGTCGTGGCCACGAGTTACTAAGTCGTGGCCACGAGATACTAAGTCGTGGCCACGAGTTAACTACCCAATCAGAATACACTATATATATTATGATTTTTTTAAACTTAACAACTTACTTTTACATGCAACATTAACTTTTGAAAATACTGAAGATATTCACTTTGAAATCACATTCCAAGGCCTATCAAACATTAATTTTGACTATAGCTCTTTGTTGGGACAACTTTGTGATCGAATTGGTCAGTTTGTATGTACTACGGCCCGTTTACCTTGTTTATACGATAACATGAGAATGAATAAGTCCTGGTTTATTTTATTTGGAAGGGACATTGCCCATGGACTATAGATAGCCTATAAGGCAAAATCCTTGTCTGATGAATAATTTAGAAGGGATAAGCCATGGTTTATATAACCCAGAAAGATCGTTGCACTTGATCAGAAGATGACATCTAATAATTTCGAGGTCACTGGGTCAAAATTCAGGGTCACAGTGACGCTAAATGTAAAATTATTGACAGGTCAATAAGTTGTATAAATGGCACTTTTACAGAATGGTGAAATAGGGGCATCCTTGTACTATAGCACATGTCTAGTTAATCAGGGAAATTCATATAAATGTTGTAATCTGATTGGTTATTTATCTCGTGGCCACGACTTAGCTATCTCGTGGCCACGACTTAGTAACTCGTGGCCACGACATAGTATCTTGTGGCTACGACTTAGCTATATCGTGGCCACGGCTTAGTAATTCGTGGCCACAACATAGTATCTTGTGGCCACGAGATAAATAAAAACACACATATGTCACCTTTGTGCTACCGTTCGTACGTATGCCCTTCAAGTATATTTCTGCATATGTTATAAATTCAAACTGATAGATATTAAATAAATAATGAGATTTAATTTCATGTACGTAATGGTTATCCAGTACACTTAATGTTCATATAACATTCTTATAAACATTGTGAGTGCATAGATTTTCATCATAACCATATCGACGCTTACTTAATGAACCAAAGAAGTTCAAGATCCATACATCTAAAGAAGTTCTAAATTGAAACATGAAAGATCGATAAAATGATATTCTACATTTTGACAATATGAAGAGGTTCTAGAATAATAATGTGCTATCTTAAATAACTAACTTTATAACACAATTCAAATATTTCTATATGCAAACATCTTGTTGAACATTCAAATGATGAATAATGTGTACGAATATTTCTGTGTACGAATATGTCAGTGTACTTTAAACATGCTCGTCTGTATTACAATCAAACTCGTTCCGTGAATGTAAATAATTGCTTGTTTCATTATATACTGTGTTAGAAAATGACTGTAAACAATTGTTGTCTCATAC